GAGGCTTGAACTATCAATGAAGCTTTTCCCGCACTCAGAGCACATGTAGGGCTTCTCTCCTGTGTGGATTCTCTCATGTGTGATAAGGGCAGAGGTCCACTGAAGCTTTTCCCACACTCATGGCATGTATAGGGTCTCCCTTCCAAGTTGATTCTATCGCATGTTATAAGGTCTGAGTGGCTACTGAAGTTTTCCTCTGGCATCTGCTGAGTCTCACAGGCTTTTGCTTTTTCTCGGAGTGCACAACTCTCGGAAACATTCCCTTTGGATCTTCCTGATAACATTCCATGTGGTTCTACTTGCTCAGCATCTTCCTGCTGGGGTTTCTCCTCCTCATTCTCACTCACCATCCCATCACCTGAATGGGAGACACAGAGAATCCAGACATAGGTCACTCCCTGCGCCGGAAAGAAAGGAAATCTCAGAAAGAGGAATGGAAAAAGGGATGAACAAACCAAAATATGTGTGGGAGAGATCAAACCTATCAGGAGCTGATTTTTCGCAAACCCTTCCCCAGAGGAGAGAGGAAGGGATCAGTTTTGGTCCGCATCTCACCAGAACACTCACGGGAAAGCAAAATCGGGGAGGGACCTGCTGCCAGTTGTCAGTCAGAATAGCTGGGAAGCCATGTGTGACATCTGCCATAATGATTCCATTCTGCAGGGAACTATCCTGAACTTGGAGAGCTCACAGGGTCTTTGTAGGGCATCCCAAATGTTTCCTGCATTCCTAAACAGTTGTTGAGTTGGTTTAACCAATTCCTCACCTGTGCAGGCAGCTCTCAGGAGCACTTCTTTCTCAGACCCCTGGAGGTCTGGGACCCACGGCTCTTCCCCTCGTTCCAGCTGCAAGATCACATCAGGTTTGGAAACTGGAAACCCTACTCCAGGCAAAGAAAACAAGGGAGGTCAGTTGAATTCGTGGGATACTGGTCACAAAGAATATTCCATGGTTTTAATTCCAGCTCATTTTTAAGCAGTAAAATACCAAGGCCATCTTCCCTGGCTCAAAGTGGCAGGAGAGGTATTATTATTATGAATCATATTCATTACCTTAGTGCCTAAAGTCCAACTAACAGTGGGTCCCCATTGTGCTAGGCACAGTACAAACACAGAACAGTAGATGACCCATGCCCTGAAGAATTTACAATCTAAATAGACAAGACAGAGACACGGATTGAGGGAAGGAGTAGAATCCACTGTTAGAATAGGGATATTCAGGCCTGCCTGTAAAGTCTATACTTTAAGAACTTAGGTGTATTTTTATCACTTAGCTAGTTACAGAGGTATAAAAACAAAGAATCAAAATCACAGTCTGCCTGTGTATGGACCTTCTCTCACTAGGATAGTCTGACGCCTTGTTCTTAGGCTAAGGCCTTTGGCTAAGCAGCAGTGGCAGCCATAAGCTGGGAAGCGTAGGGTCACATCCTCACATCCCAAACCAGTCACACTGAAATAAGGTGCTATTGGGCTGTTGGGAAGACGATCCTGCCTGGATAGTGCCCATCACCACCAGATAAAGAAACAAATCTTAAGATGGTTAAAGAAAACTTAGTTTGATAGCATCCTGTCTGGCAAGAAATCACTTATCAATGGTTGTGGTTGTGAACCCCTCATTTACGTATTGTTTTATCTTTATGGCCACCACTTTTACCTTGTTAATCAGTCTGGTTCTCTAATTGTTTCTTTCTGCTGTAAAATTAATGTTGCTAGATGTAAGTAAATTACGTAGTGGGATATAATTGGTTAGAGAATTATGTTACAATATGTTCGAATTGGTTAGTTAAATTTCAGTAAAATGATTGGTTAAAGTATAGCTGAGAATATGACAGAATATAGGGTCAAACAGGAGGGGGAAAGGAAATTGGAATCATGTTTCTTAAGGGGGGAAAACAGGAACAGGGAATGGGGACACAGGCAAGGCTCTGTGGCATCAGAACTGGGATGGGGGAAACAGGGAAAATGCGTTATCAGAGCTGGGAAAGGAACACTGGGGAACAGACTATCACGTATAGAGAGAAGCCCGACTGGTGTGAAGAGCTTCGGAATATGCCTGCTTGGAAACTAACCCCAATAAACATTATCTGCGCTTCAGACTTCTGGTCTTTTGCTGCTTCCTGTCAGCGTGACAAGAACCAGGGAAGTGGAAAGCCCTCTAACAAAACTGACATGATCTGATAACCAACAGGTAAGCCTTTAAGGAAGGTTTTAATACATTTTGGAACTGATCAGGGATTCCCACAAGGACTGATGAAGGGGCAATGGTAAATACACATTTTGATCCTTTTCTTGTTTTATGTTTTCTCCATAAGGTGCACTGTCATGGATCCATAGGATCTGTGCAATGCCCTGGCTTTTAAACAGTCCTTGGAAGGTGCCCCTTGAGTGCACTAGACCCCCGAGGGATCCCACTCTTCCACAAGGATAGGCCATGTAGCTCAATACCTGAGACTGAGCCTCTGGCTTCAACACTCCTATTTCAACCTGTCAGCTCGGTCAGCAGGTCCAGCTGAACGACACTCCTGTTCAGAGACTGCTCCTCAGTCAATGCACGGAGCAAGTTTTTGCTGTGACACTTGACTTTTAAAACATAGCAGGGTTTATTAGTCAACTGAAACGCAGCATTGGAAAGTCCTTAGATTAGCACAGGGAAGCAAAAAAGACAATATAGTCCATACTGGCCAATGTCCTTGAGCCACGCTGCTGTAGAAAACGTTTTGGTTTCCTTTCACTGTGACTGTCCATTTGTCTTCGCTCTGGTAGAGCTCCCAGCGTCTGCGAGCCCAATTCTTCCTGCTCCCAAAAACATAACGAGTCCATGTATACTTCACTCAGCCAAACGGAGATCCTCCCATGGACAGGTGACAATTATTCCCTTGTCTCTGTTGGGTATTCCATTGATGTAGGTTGGTCGAAGCCAGTCCTTAATAACCCATTCATATCACCCCATGACAGATACATGACTCCTGCTCGTTATAATCATAGTAACACCAATCACAGAGGGAAACTGAGGTGTGTATTGGCATCATATCACCAAAAGTATCACCAAATTCCCACCTCTATCACACACACAGTGCTCACAGCCCTTTGAGAGAAAGCAAAGCACATGAACTGGACGGTAGTCCAGTGAACACAGTGGAGAACAAGCTGCAATCCTCAAACCCTAGTCAAAAAGAAGAGGCATGTGGGTCGCTACCCATACAGAGGGGTTGGCTAGAGGCCTGATACCTGAGAGGGCATTGCTTGAGCAGACCATGGAGGCAGGTCAAAGGCTTAGCTACTCCAGAACTGTGACATCACAAAAGCACGTTTTGGGGAATTAGGAAATCTAGTGACTCAGGTGTAATGGGAGGGAGAATTAAACTCCCTCAGTGTGTGGACAAGGCTGGGGAATTTAACACTAAAATTCAGGAGTAACAGCCTCTAATTCTTCCGGAAAAGAAGAATGTAAGAAACAAGAACTGGGCCACGCAACCTAGGAGGTACAGGCTCAAAGATCCAAGGAGTCTGTAGGGAAGACAGCTTCTGGCTGCTGCACATGGGGAGAGGAGTGACAAGACTCTTTCCAAACTCTCACTCCTGCTGACCCCAACCTGATTTTATGATCTATGACCTAGTCACATGTCTTGTGGGCAATTTTATACTAGCTAGAGGTAAAATGTCATTATCAGAGTATTGCTTATTAGCTTGGAATATGCATGGAGGGGCAAGGAGGTGAATATAGATAAATGGGTTATTAAGGGCAGGGACTACACTACAGCCGGGATCAAAGCTCTGAGATCGATCCACCGGTGGTCGATGCAGCGTGTCTATTAAAGACCCGCCAAATTGACTGCAGATCGCTCTCCAGTCGACCCCTGTACTCTACCCCTGACGAGAAGAGTAAGGTAAGTAGACATGCAGTAACTCGACCTAAGGTACATCGACTCCAGCTACGTTATTCACGTAGCTGGAGTTGCGCAGCGTAGGTTGAGTTACTGCGGTAGTGTAGACATAGCCTAAGCTTGCTACAGTTAAGGGCCTGTTATATTAGGTTGAGGCTTTGTGGGAGTAGTTATGCTGAAGTCTGGGATTTACCCAAATAGGCTAAGGAGAGAATCCCAGGTCAGATATTTTGCACCCTCATTTTAAGAGACTAACGAGTAACCACAAGCGGGTGGAATATGCCACAGGATTCTGAAAGAAGGAAGTTTGGGGCGGGCTTTAGCAATTAGGTTGCTATGCAGTATCTCAGTAGTTGGACCGCATTCATATATTGGAATTATTAATAAATAAGTGATGTAAATCATGAGTATTAATGCTTGATGCTTAATTAAGGACTTCCCAAAGGCCACATATGGGTTGGGGCAGCTATTGACATTATTGTAATCAGAGTAAAGGAGCAGATATGGTATATAGCCATCCTATTACCATAAGGAAATGGATAAAATACCTCTCCTAATTATCATTTTTTCATTTTGTCATGTCTCCGAGACAGTATAAACTGAAGAAGGGCCTCCCTTCTGAGGGTCTCCCTTGCCCCTCGATCTTTGTTTCCAATGGTATACATAACTTGTAAGTATGCACAGTGCAAGACCCTCTTTACTATACTTATCTTAGTCTAATTGTTATGTGTATTGATCCTTGCCTATGATTTCAATTATAACTGTCTGTATTAAATTAAGTTTCTGTGTGTTTCACCAAATTTCATATTCGCAATTAACTTTAAGTTGCCATGTACAAGGGCAGTTGTACCCCAATACGTAGGTGTAAAAATTGTACAGGCTACCCTACCACCCTGTAAAAAGCAACAGAGGGTCCTGTGGCACCTTTAAGACTAACAGAAGTATTGGGAGCATAAGCTTTCGTGGGTAAGAACCTCACTTCTTCAGTTGCAAGTAATGGAAATCTTCAGAGGCAGGTATAAATCAGTATGGAGATAACGAGGTTAGTTCAATCAGGGAGGGTGAGGTGCTCTGC